TCTCTCTCTCTCTGTCACACGCCACAACCCCGCCACACAACCCTCTCTCCTGCTCGCTCTCCCCCGCCAAAGAAGAGCTATTTACAGGGGACGACGACGACTGCTCATCGACACGGCAGGCAAATTAAATTTGAGAGACTAATTGTGGTGCCGCCGTCCTTCTTGTTAGGCCCCGATGATTTGTTCTGGCCGCCGCCGCCGCCGCTCACCTCGGCGCCAAAATACAAAATGGGGCGCAATTAAAACGGCCCGCGACACCCAGCCCACCAGGGTCCTCCGCCCCTCCCCGGCGAGGCGCGGGGCGGGCGGGGCGGGACGGGACGGGCCACAAAAGCGGCCCTGGCGGCGCCGGGTGGCGCCAAAGGGGGCACACAGGGGAGGGAATGCATAACGCGCGGATGCGTGACAGACGGGCGCATTTAGAGCCCCCCGGCCGCTGCTCTGGCTGGGCTGGGGCTGGGGAGGGTAATGCGTGCTGAGTGATGGTGTCAAGTCTGTGCAGTGCAGCGACGCGCACCACACGCCGCCGCCGCCGCCCAGGTGTTGTGAACGAGTGAAAGGTGCCACTAATGGACTGTGGGTGCAGCAGCAGCAGCAGGCAGCAGCAGCGCCCGTGCCCATGCGTGCGAGTGCGAGTCATTCGCTCCCCATTGCTGCACCCCGCCTCCTCTGCTGCCATTGAAAAAGCGATCTCGCATAACAGCATAGACAGACACCGAGATGATAAAACGCCATACACTATAAACCAGATGGACTGGCTCAGTTGTTCTTGCACCACGGCCGCAGCCGCAGCCAAAGTCTTGGCGTTCACAAAAGCGTTACTATTACTTTGACACCGTCAGCCAGTGCCGGCCCCGGTGGCACTGCAGACGACTGCAGCAGCAGCAGCCCACGGCGTCTTTGACGGTAGTGCCCGGTCATGATTGGGTGCGGACCACCTGCCGGTAACTGTGCGGGGCCAGCGCGTTGGTCACCACGACCAACTACCCGCCAAGTTAGCTCGACAAGCGCCGCGCCGCCTTATGCCAGTCCGCGCTGTCGCTCCAACTTTCTTCCGCCAGACAGCAGTAGCAGCGGCAGTGATTGCGAATTCAAGACGAATGCAGCCCAGCGAGTAATTAGCTTTGAATGAAGTGCAGCAGCGCAAAGTTTTTACCCCTTGGCACAGCCGCAGCCGCGGCAGCAGCAGCAGCAGCAGCAGCAGCAGCAGCAGCAGCAGCAGCAGCAGCAGCAGCAGCAGCAGCAGCAGCTCTGCGGCACGCGCGGAGAACCCACCCCGTAAGCAAGCACGGCCTGCTCCGCATCGCCATCTCTAAATGCAGATCAGGCCCGGGCGCGCCTGGCGACATCATTAAGTTGACGTTTCATACCCTCTTCTCACAACAAAACACTCGTCATTCCAACCCCCTCCAGGCAGGCGGCAGGCGCCCGGGCCGGCCGCCGCCGCCCGCACACCGCCTCTCCCTCCAAATCGTAATAAACGATAGGAGGGAGAGACCCTCCCTCAGCCCTCCATCACTGCCAAAGAATTCCTGTCCGGGGCGCAAGGCAGGCAGGGCGCAGGCAGAGCTCTCCGCGGGATGCCAAACGCATGCAGTCACATAATACAACTTGTTTTGTTATTGTGCTGAAGGGGAAACATTTGTTGCGCAATTTTTATCGCACGCGGTCGATGCTCGCGCAGACATATGGGCTAATCCGTGACAGAACCAGCCGCAGGCGGAGAAATGCATGCAATCTTTTACTTTGGCACAAAACGCCCAGCCACGCCCCGCCACGCCCCACCACGCCCCACGGGTTATTCAATAAGGGTCTAATGGGCCACGGACCAGCCACTGCGATTTGGGTCCGCCTCCCTCTCTCTCACTCACACTCTTCTTCTCACTTTCTCGGTCTTGCCTCTCCTGGCGAAACTTCGGTCGACTGCGCTGCACCAAGTTTTCAGCTGGATTCAAGCCTAACACCGCGCGCTCGCCTTTAGATTCCCACTATTTGAAAAAAAAGAAAAGAAAACAGGAGAAAATTGGATGAGGGCAGAGCCGAGTTTGCTCAAGAGGCTTGCTGCTGCCCCTGCCGCTGCTTGACACGGGGGGAAAAATACTGAAAAGTCAAGATTCAAAAATAAAAGTCATCTGCGAGGAGTACGAAATGAGCTCCTGTCGTCAGACACACAGCAACCATCGCCACGGAAGAGGGCATTTGTATTCACGTCTGGCCATCTTGTTGATACCCGAATGTCGTGTCGCAGCGCAGTGTCGCCAGATCATCTCCCCATACAACAGAAGCAAGCACCTCCTGCACCGCTGCTCGTCCCATACCTCGTGTTGTTGCTTCTGCTTTCTAGACTCCTGTTGGGCTCATCACCTCGACACCCACTCCATCACGGTCCTTGGCGGGAGAACTGCAACAGCAAACTGAACGCATATAATTTTAAAAATGGTTTACATTTTCATTATTCCGCTCGTATAATAATGTGTAACTTACGTGATATATTTCTGGGCCAGCCCTAGCGCTGCGAGGCCAAAAACAGACGAAATGGCCTAACCAGCCTACCACGTCGATCGCTGTTGTTTCCGTGCGCAAGTTTTCCTCCTACCGCAACCTTGTTTCCTTTCGCTCGGTACGGGACAGGAGGTCCCCCGAGAGGACGCACCGGCGGCACCAGGCGATCCATCAGCAAGAGTCGTGTTCCGATTGTGTTGCTCCCAGGTCCACATTCATCCACATCACTTTCCCCCGGCACGTCGCCCAGAAATACGGATGAATGTTGTGTGTGGCGCTAGCTGAACGCGCACTCCAGCAGCCGCGAAAGAGAGAGAGAGCGCGCGCGTGTCGTGCGTTTTTTCAACACCTTTCGCGCGGATCATCATCATGAATGTCACTGCGTTGTGTCGAAATAAGTGGCGTGCAGCCGACAAAACACACACCACGCCATACACCACGGGTGATTTAGCAAGAAGGGGGTGTGCCTCTGCCACCGTCGCGCGCGTGGGAGGAAGGGCGCGGGCAGTCGATATGAGCAGTGCGCGCGCGCGCGCACACACACACACACACACACACACACACACACACACACACACAAAAGCACGCTCAAACACCATAATGTCGTACTGGGATGGATAGGGAAAAATCATACACGTATGCATAACAGCACGTGCTGCACTCGTTCGCGTGCGCCCACGAGAGAATTCCCCCGCCGCCCTATCTATACGCCCCCAACTCCAACCCCCTGCACCCCTTATAACTCACAAGCTTTGCATGTCAGTTGTCATCGCGTCTGCCCTGCTGCTGCCTGGTCTGGTGGTGGTGCCCCTGCCTGCCTGCTCCGATCCTCCGGGCCGTAGATTCCATTCTCTATACAACCCTCACTTGCGCTGCTAACTCACAAAACACACAATGCGTTAGGGGAAATAAGTCATCCGGTCAAACGTCATTGCGTCTAATATTTTACAAAATATCCTATTACACGTGCACCCCCGCACACGATCGCGCAGCAAACTAATTTGACTGTAAGGCAACGACATACTAAACGCATATTTCGTTAAACCCTACACAATGACAATATATATTATTTTTTTCTGTACAGAAAAGGCCTTGCTCTAGGTACGGGTGAGCCGCCGGTTTCATACAGCCGACCCCGCAGCTGACAAGGCCGCCATGAACAGACAGGCGGCTTATTCTTATACCGCCCAATTTGACTTGGCAGCCCAACTAATTGCCTGTTTGCAAAATGCTCTTATTGTCAAATAACTCTTCCCACCCGCCGTTTCTCCACCCCTCTTTCTTTTCAGTCCGAGGAGGCATGCTTTTGTCTTTCTGCGCCCACTCCCAGCAGCAGCAGCAGCTCCCTCTCTCTATCCCCAACCCCTTCGTCGTCCGTCGTGCGCGCGCCTAGGAAACTCTTCCCTCAGTTTTTGACTGAATGGCCCCGTCCCATCCCAGCCCCGTCCGTCCGTCCATCTGTCGGGGACGTTCCCGCTGCTCGCCCGCAGCACGTCTTGCGGCACGTCCAAGAAGAAGGCGACCACGTCCTCCCCCTCTCATCACATTATGGAGATGTCGAGCGCGATTAAAGAAAGGCACATCCGTCGGCACATCCGTGTGGAACATCAGCAGTAGCAAATTCGAATGCGAACACATAAGCGGGGCTATGCGCCTGGTATTGACGTTCCCTCGATTAGGCGAGCCACGTCCGATACGGATGATAGGAAGGCGCGGCGGGAAGTATTCAGAACCGAGCAGACAGGCTCCCCGCTGCGGCTGGCGCGCGGGCGGGGAGAGTGGGAGGGAAGACCAACAACGCTCCTGGTGAAAAGTGCATGCATGTATTTTGGTCCAACCCATGCTAGACTACTGGACTTGCTAAATACGATGGCTGTTATAGTACAGTAGTGTAATTTCGACTAACGGAGGAAGACAAAATATCAGGTAGAACATAAAAGTTTCCGATTGGTCGAGAGCTTCCCGCCTCTACGTACGTCACGCCGGTAGTGACGGTAAAGGCTCGACTCGACCAATCAGGAACCTTTATATTCTACCAGCTATTCTTCTTCCTTCGTTAGCCGGAATCCACTATAACGTTCACCGCGTTCACCAGCGACGTGCGCACATGTGTTCGCGCCCGCCACGCATTCGCAGACTGCGACTGCAGCGTGACGTCGGGAGGACCAGAGAGATGCTCCTCTCTGCGCAGACTAGGAAAAGGGGTGTGGAGTAGGGGGGAAATTTACACTCCAGCAGCAGACGGTCGGCGGGGCGGGGCGCGTGCTGTATCTCAGTGCGTATCGCGGCACGCACGCAAAAATGGGAAAACGAGGGACTTGCAAAATGGAGATTGTGTGCTCACAACCCTTCGCTCGCGCCGCTGTGTACACGACCGGGGGCCGGTCAGGGACCGGCCAGTTACGTTGCGGGTTTCACGACCAGAGACCCGCGCGTGTGTTTGAGTTTGTTGTTGATGAGGATTGGGGTATAGGAAAAAAGATGGAGGCCTCGAGATATAACGTTTCGATTTTGTTTATTTCAGTTTTCACGCCTAGCAAAAGGAGTGGGTTGTGGGAATAGGAGGAGAAATATGACATGTTCTAGGTACAATTTCTCAACTAGTGTCAGCAACTACACACCGTTAAAAACTTCTTACAACATTTTTAGTAAAATTATACCAGTGCTTGGTGGTTTTCAGAATTTAAAAATCCTACTTATCGAGCACGCTAAAAGAAATTCGTTTGTATGTTAGAAGTACTGCCATTATGGGGTGAAAACTCACTTAAGCAGGAAATGAAATAACTTAATGTATGTGATATGTTGCAACATGAATCGGAAAAATGGCAGTACATCTCACAGTATTTCACGTTGATTGCATCAGTCTTGGCGGGAAGTAAACACCACATATTTTTTGAATGAAATCAAAAAATAAGTGTGTTGCTTCAACTTAAATAATATTTCACAACAAAAACATGCTTAGTTACTAACAAAATTCTAAAATGTGGAGTAGCTGGAGCTACTGACTTAGTGAACCTCGGTATTGTTAATCTATTTACTGGTGTTGTACGATCCATCATTGTGTAAAAATATTACTCACATTCATTTACACTTATTAAAATTCAACAATCCATTTGTACTTCATTACACTCAACAAACGCCTACATCAGTGTTTCAAAAAACGATACAGCCTGCTTTTCTACCCTGGCAAATAAGCAATTTCAAATTGAAGCTCTTTCGTATTTATAATGTGACCTATAGACCTAATGTTCAACATGTGTGATAAGAATGTTTACAGATGGTACAAAAGTTGTCAACTTAATAAATATATAGTATGTAGAAAACATGGAATTTCGATTTTATGTACATAGTTCAAATAGATTCAAGTGCGAAATATGACTCTTGTTCTACTACAGTATTGATCCCATGGCTTTCCGAAACGAAATAATTGTCTATGAATTCAGACAGTAAACCAGACTTGGTCTTTTGGCCTTCTAGGATAACTCTCAAAAGTGCCCCGACGAATACAATTACCAACACATAATTTCTAATCCAAATAGAAAAACAAAAGAAGAAAATACCTCTCAGGCTACATTATTATTGTCTCGAAATAAGTGACACAGAATTCGCCCTCATCGTCACAAAGACGCCCAGTCAAAAATGCCAAAGCTACAAACAAACAAAAATGCTGTCGAATTTCCCAGGAAAAATCGCGGCAATGGCGCGAACTAAAGTGGCCGGTCTGTCGTCGTGTGCCAAAGGGACGCGACGATGTATTGCACACATCATTAGGCTTTTGCAGAGTTCGCGCGGCCTTTAGCACAACGACGCACAATGGGGCATCGCAGTGTTGTCGGTGGCCACGGCGGGCCCCGGCCCCCGCGCGGCCCCGGGCATGCCCATGGCGCCCCTTGACGCTGAGAAAACGAGCGACCCTTTGTACGGGCCAAAGACAAAGGGCTCGGTGCGTGCCCGGCTTTTGATGTCCTCCATGACTGCTTGTAAAAAGATATATAACAACGAGAGCAATGGCACAGCAGAGCACCATTTCGCGCGGCTGGGGATTTTTTTAAGTGTTCCGAAAAAAAAAAACAACACGAAAAACCAAAACAAAAGGAGTAAAAAGGAGTGCGGCTACTGCTGTGCGCTCCTCTATGTTGATGTACCGTTTCGACTGGGCGCGTTTGCACACATGTCCACGGAGTCAGTGCTTGGCGAGCAGTTACCCGCACCACAAGGAGTACGTAACATGGGTAAAGTACTGACAAGGGGACCGCGGGCTACTGCGAGGCGTCATACAGGAAACCCTCGGTGCTTACAGGAACACGCGAAGCAAGGAGTAGTATTTATGTACATATGTAAACGTTTGCTGTACAAAGTTAAATAAGTGTTCTCTACAAAATAGCTACAAACTTTGTACAATTCACAGGATGTTTCCACAATATGTATTCAATAGTCAACAACAACAGCCATGACAAACAAGGTTGTGCATGAATTAAAGCGGTGTGGAAATTCTCTTCCAATATCACAATGCAAATAATCGAGGAAAATGCGGTTCGATGAGAGCTAAAAGCTCCAGTGTTGCGCGTAGATACGAACATATATTTACATTCAATGAAAGCACAGACTCCGTCTGTCATCATACAATTCAACAAAATAGTCTGTAGAAACTGTACACATATTCTTGTAGCCGAAGCACAACTTACAGCGGATATGACTTTTCTTGTTGGGTCGCAGTCCGTTCTGAAGATCAACAGACGGCCGAAACTCCGGGTCATTCTAAAATATACAAAACACTTCAATTCTTGCAAAATAAACTTCTGCATACTGTCGAAAGAGGACTCTGCGAGAGGCACGTCCATAAGTCCGAATATCACGAAATGTCAGTCGCGCACAGTCGCACCAATCTGATGCTCAGCACTCCTCCGAGTCACTGTGCTCGGCGGGGTCGTCGCCGGCGTGCCACTCGAGCAGCGGCATCAGGTCCGGGGCCGGGCTAGGCGGCGCCCTGGGCGGCCCTCCCGGGCCCCGCCCCTCCTTTCAGAGGAAGCGGACGTCTGGTTGTCAGGAGAGGGCGGCGGCGGCGGCCGCGGCCGAGGTCGCCGGCGAGGAGCACGACGTGGAGGCCGGGCTGTAGCCGAGGTTCTTGCGCTGCAGGAACAGGTGGATCTCGCGGAAGCTGGGCCGCTCCGACTCCTGCGGCCGCCAGCACTCGCACATGAGGCTGTAGACGTCGCGCGCGGCGGGCGGCAGCGGCGGCATGGGGAGCGGGCTGAACAGGCCCGGGTCGCCCTGGTGCAGGTTGGCCAGGTTGGCGACCACCTGCGGGCTGCTCAGCTCCGGGTACGGTGCCACCCGGCAGTAGTGCAGCATCTCCCACAGCGTGACGGCGAACGCCCACACGTCGCTCTTGGTCGAGTACTTGCCGAGGAAGAGCGACTCGGCCGCCATCCACCGCACGGGCAGCGACAGGTTGCCCTCGGGCCGGTAGTAGTCGGCGGCGAACACGTCGTTGTCCGTGCCGAAGTCGGAGATCTTGACGAGGTAGTCGTCGCCGACCAGGCAGTTGCGCGCCGCCAGGTCGCGGTGCACGAAGTTGAGCGACTCGAGGTACTTCATGCCGGACGCGACCTGCGTCGCCATGTACATGAGCGTGCCGAAGCCGAGGGTGGTGGGCCCGCCCTCGGCGCCGGCCTTGAGCGCGCGCGGGTCCGCGTACATGTCCGGCGAGCGCGAGCTGAGGTAGCGGTGCAGGTCACCGTGGGGCAGGTACTCGAGCGCCACGCACAGCGGCTCGCCGCGGGTGCACAGCCCAAGCACGCGCGCCAGGTTGGGGTCCTCGAGCGCCGACAGGAGGCGCACGTCTCGCTGGAAGTCGAGCCTGCGGACAGAGGAGCAAACGAAGCGCCGGGGGGTGAGTTCCACAACGAACACCGTCGGGAAAGGTGGAACAAAGAACATGACTTCCAAAATGGCGCGATGCTTACTTTTCCTTCTCGCTGGCGCCCTGGTTGAGGAACTTGACGGCCACGAGCCGCGTGTCCATGGAGTTGCCACCGCCGTAGTCTGGGATGCCCTCGGCCTCGGCCACGTACAGCTGTGGGGCAGAGAGACGGAAGGAGAGCGTGAGCGTGGCGAAGGCCTTCAGAGAGGTGAACACAAGAGCACCGTGGTGGACGCACACTTACCGTGCCAAAGGCGCCTTCGCCAAGCCGCGCCAGCATCCGGAGCCGGTGCCTCGCGAACTCGGGGACGGTGACGGACTGCAGGCGCTTCTTGAGCGAGCGCATCACCTCCTGCTGGGACACGGGAGAGCGGCACGTTAGACACACTGAACAGACGACACCGACGAACCGCCGAGAAAGGCAACTTGCTACTCACCCTCTTGTTCTTCATGCCGTCGTCCGAGAGGCTGCCCTTCCTCGAGTGCAGGCTGTTGCCCTTATTGTCGGAGCTGCCGAACGCGAAGCTGCCCAGGGTGCCGCCGCCGCCGCCGCCGCCCCCGAGCGGGCCGCCGAGGGTGGCCGACGAGCCGACGCCCATGGGGCTCATGGTGTCCAGCGCCGACAGCGAGGGCGGGCCCGAGGGCGGCCCCGGCGGCGGCGGCGGTCCGGGGAAGGGCGGCAGCCCCGGCAGCGTGTCCTCGGCGGCCAGCAGCGGCGTGCTGTTCGACGGCGTCGTCTCGGGCACGGCGTACTGGGTCTCTGCAACACGCAGGCAAGGCACCGCCAGTTCATGAGACCCGTCTGGTCTATCTCACTCGTCCTTCTCTCTCAGCTGACGAAGCAGCAGCAGCTGATTGTGCTCCGCTAATGAGTGTCCCTGCTGAGGCTGCAATCGAGGCGCTATTGCAGAGCGAGCTGGGCGTGCTGCTGCTGCTGCACCGCCCTCCCGCCGCTGCAGTGCACGCCGGACAAAAGCACTCAACAGTCCATCAGCGACACGCCTCCCAGCAGAGCGAGCGCAGCAGCAGCAGCGCAGCGCTCTCAATGTTGTAATATCGACCCAATCAATCGACGCGAGGTGGGCGGCGAACACACTCTCGCTCTCGCTCTCTCTCCCACACACTCTCTTTCTCTCTTGGCAGCCCAGTTCAGAGTGACTACTATTATTAATAAACAAGCGCCGGTTTTCCTCTCGTCACCTAATTAACGCTTGGAAAGAGAGAGGGGGAAAGGGGGGGGGGAGTGGGCGGTGCGTATGAAATAAGAAGGCAGAACTCGGGCAGGGCAGGGCGCTGCTGCGCGTGGCGCGCCTAACGATGCAAGAGGTAATTTGATTGTTTTACGAAAGGCGGCGAGGTGCATGTGTAACTCTCGATGGCCGTGAGGATTGTTGGTGTGACTGTTCACGCTTTTGGCGCGAGCCTAGATCAGGGGGCCTGCGTACGCGTCTGTGTGTGTGTGTGTGTGTGTTAGTGTGTGTGCGTGTGCGTGATAGGGAGAGAGTGGGAGAGTGGCGCACAGTGGGGTGCGTGCGGGCGCGCGCACC